GTATTCTGGTGGCGCAGTGGTTAGAATGCAGTATTGCAGGCTGACTCTGCCCACTGTCAGTAGTTCAACTCAGGTTGACTCAGCCATCCATCCTTCCCAGATTGTTGGGAGCAAGATGCTGACATTGTAAACCACTCATTAAAGCACTATGGGGTGATACATGTTTAAGTTGTTATTCTATTCTATTCTATTCTATTCTATTCTATTCTATTCTATTCTATTCTATTCTATTCTATTCTATTCTATTCTATCCTATCCTATCCTATCCTATCCTATCCTATCCTATCCTATTCTATTCTATTCCTTATTCCATTCCATATTGTATTATTCTATTCTATTCTATTCTATTCTATTCTATTCTATTCTATTCTATTCTATTCTATTCTATTCTATTCTATTCCATCCCATCCCATCCCATCCCATCCCATCCCATCCAACTTGACTCTATTTATTTATATATTTATTCTCTAATCTACTCTACTCTACTCTACTCTACTCTACTCTACTCTACTCTACTCTACTCTACTCTACTCTACTCTACTCTACTCTACTCTCTTCAACTTTCTTCAACTTGACTCTATTCTGTTTTCAACTTTACCCTGCCCTACCCTACCTTACTCTACTCTACTCTATTCTATTCTACTCTATTTGACTCTACTCTACTCTACCCCACCCCACCCTACTCTACCCTACCCTACCCTACCCTACCCTACTCTACTCTACTCTACTCTACTCTACTCTACTCTACTCTACTCTATTCCCATTGCAATTGACAGATTTTTGGCTAATTATAATCATAGTTCCATGGTACAGTTATACACTCACTAGAATCAATACAAAACATATTAAAACCATTCAACAGTGAAATTCGCTTACCTTCGCTACCAGTTCGGGAATGGGAGTGTGCAGGAGCATGCTCGCCCTACATGTGTGCGCACCTCTTCTGTGCATGTGCGGAGCCTTCTGTGCATGCACAAGGGGTCAAAAATGGGATGTAATGACATCCCGGAAGGTGGGTGGAGCCTCCCGCCGCCTGCACTACCTGTTCGCGCGAGCTGTATAGATCCGGCTGGATTTCCCCACTGAAACCATTCATGTGTGCATCAAAACAACAATAAGAAACAGAAGCTGAAGCTAAGTAAGTATAAATCAAAAACACACATGGCTTGCTGTGCACAGATTTTCCTTCTAAAGAGATCACTTTAGGCTCTCTGGCTCCCCATTAGTATTGCAAAACATCACTTGCACTTCAGTGACAAGCATCTTTGGAAATGGAAATTAAGGAAACTCACAACAGCATTTTTTTCCCCCTGGATCCCTGTAGCTGTTTCTAGTGGGTTATATCTAGGCTGCCTCTATCTGGGAAGTGCATCCTTTATTTATCATAGGATTCTAGTAGGATATAGATTGTGGATCGGGAGCAGCCTGCGGAGCTGGCAGTGGAGTCGGACAGTGATGAGGCTGAAGAAGAACATGGGCCAGTCCTGGAGGCTGGGGAAGGCCCGGAGGAGGGCTCTGCATCGGAGGCAGAGATGGGGCCAGGGCCATCGGGGAGTGATGTGCAGACTCCGAAGCCTCCAGAGGCTGACAGTAGAGAGGCAGAGGAACAGGAGGAGCCTGTTCCTAGTGCACGCATGAGAAGAGCTGCCAGAAGGCAAGGGCAGCTAAAGCAAAAAGGACGACTCAGGAGTAAGGCCAAGAGATGATTGGCCCCTCCCATAAGGCTTAAAAGACCAGCAATGCTCTTGGGCTCTTTGCCGTAAAGCAATGTTGATAGATTTGTTTCTTGTCTTGCTGCATTTATATCTTGTCGGAGTCTTCTGCTTCTTAACTTTTGCCAAGAGAAGCCTTTGGCAGTTTGCCTAATTATACCAAGGTTGGTGATTAGACTGAAGAATTTGTCTTATGAAGAATTTGTTTTGATTTAGTTTGGACTACGCTGAGAATGAGTTAATTCTCAGCTGTTCTAATAAAGTCTGTTTGTTTTGGAACTGTTTGCGTCTAATATTACCTGCTTGGGCCTGGGTCACAACAGTGGGATATATTTATAATTCTGAGTGTCTGAATGAGCAGTTGGTAGCAGTTGGCCCTAGATTTACAAGCTAAGCAGGGTCTGGTCTGATGATTATTTGGAGGGGAGAATATTGAACAATTCTAGGGCTCCAATCTAAGGCTTATAAACCAATTGGAATCAACTCTGAGTGGTGAAGAATTCTGAATTTTGTATTTGGTTTACCAGGGGTTGATTTTTTTTTTTTTGCTGTTGTTTTAAATATATAAAACAGTGATGGCTAATCTTTTACGTCACCGCCTGCCAGCTTGCATGCTGGAAATGGCACACAAAACCATCCCATGAGGAATGCGCGGCCCCGCTGGCCTTCACACATGCAGGGGCACTGTTACCTGAAAGAGCGGCGGTCTGACACGCATGTGTGAGCTGGCACCTGAACTTGTTCTGTCCCCCTTCCTCACACAGGCAAACATAATACCAAGCACACCTGCCAATAGTTTATTAGGTAAACAGATTAGAATTCCTGGCAGACCAAGGTTTTGGCCGCAAACTGCCGAATGCCTGCCAAGACCGTTTTCACTCCCATAAAACAGAAAAGGACTTATCTTCAGTCCGTTCCAGGAGCAACAAAACAAGAGTTTAGTCAATGTTCAGTCCAAAATATATCCAAGCTGAATTTCAGCTATCACAATGTGACTCTCAGGTTTTTAACTTTGTCCGTCACAAAGCCTGAAGAGCAATCCCACCCACTTTTATTCCTGGTGGGGCATGGCTCCGTGACTCAGCTCAATCTCTGGCCCTTCCATGCCTCTTCCGTTGCTGCGCACGCTTCTCCCTCTGACACTGCCTGGGATCAAGCCAGGATTCATCCTCCTCGCTCCCTATCAATGGGTGCTCCGATATGCCTTCCTCCTGGCATATCCCAGGCTGTTCCTCCTGGCCTTCGGATGGAACCCGAGGCATTGCCAGAGAGGAGGGTCCTGGAGAGGGAAGCCTTGTCAGTTCCTCCCCATCACCTTCTGAGTCCTCTTCCTCTGTTAGGAAAGGCTCGGGAGTCGGGGTCACAACAGAACTTCCGGTTTCTGGCACGGATGCATGCCCGATGAACAGCTGGCCATCGTGCATGTACATGATGTAAACCCGAAGGTTCAGGTGCCAGCCTTCGCATGCGTGATGGAATGCCGCTCTTCTGGGGTTTTGCCACTCCTGTGTGTACAACAGCCAGCTGATCGATGTGCGTGTGTGCACAGGAACGTGGTAGAGGAGCCAGCGAGGCCGCACATTCCTCATGGGATGGTTCTGCGTGCCACATCCAGCACACGTTCCATAGGTTCGCCAACACGGATATAGAATAATAGAATTGGAAGGGACTTTGGAGGTCTTCTAGTCCAACCCCCTGCTTGAATAGGAGACCCTGTATCATTTCAGACAAATGGTTGTCCAGTCTCTTTTTGAAAGCCTCCAGTGATGGAGCACTCAGAACTTTTGGAGGCAAGTTATTCCACTAGTTCATTGCGCTCACCATTAGGAAATTCCTCCTTAGTTCTGGGTTGTTTCTCTCTCTCTCTTTTTTTTTTTTTTTAAATTTTGACTTATATGCCGCCCTTCTCCGGAGACTCAGGGCGGCTTACAATGCGTTAAGCAATAGCCTTCATCCTTTTGTATATTTATACAAAGTCAGCTTATTGCCCCCACAAACTGGGTCCTCATTTCATCTACCTTAGAAAGGATGGAAGGCTGAGTCAACCTTGAGCCTTGGCGAGATTCGAACCCTGCAGTAATTGCAGGCAGCTGGTCTTAACCAGCTTAATAACAGGGTGCCTTAAACCCCTGTACTACCAAGGCTCTTTGGTTAGTTTCCATCCATTCTTTCTTGCCTTGCCTTTTGGTGCTTTGGAAAATAGATTGACTCCCTCTTCTTCACAGGAGCTCCTCAAATATTGGTACAATGCTATCATGTCACCCCTAGTCCTTCTTTTCATTAGACTAAACACCCAAAGTCAATTATGTGAGGTGGGCAGGAGGGAGGGAGGGAGGGAGGGGAAGGAAGGAGAGGAGAACAAGTGATGCTGCCATGTCACCCCTCGTCATTCTTTGCATTAGATTAAATGTATGAGCCACCCAAAGTCAAATATGGGAGGGAGGGAGGAAGGAAGGAAGGAAGGAAGGAAGGAAGGAAGGAAGGAAGGAAGGAAGGAAGGAAGAGCCTTGGTGGTGCAGCAGACTAAAGTGCTGTTAAGTAGCACCAGCTGCCTGCAATTACTGCAAGTTCGAATCTCACCAGGCTCAAGGTTGACTCAGCCTTCCATCCTTCCGAGGTAGGTAAAATGAGGACCTGGTTTATGGAGTCAATAATCTGACTTTGTATAAAAAAGAACACCGCTTGGGGGGGCCAAAAGCCCTACTAAGCAGGTATATACAAAAGTGTGAAGGCTATTGCTTAACGCATTGTAAGCCGCCCTGAGTCTCCAGAGAAGGGTGGCATATAAATCGAACCAATAAATAAAATAAATAAACAATAAATAAATAAGGAAGGAAAGAAAGGAAAGGGGAGGGAAGGGAAGGGAAAGGAAGGGGGTAGGGAAGGAGGAGGAAGGAGGAGAGGAGGAGAGTGGAGTGGTGAGAGGAGAGGAGGGGAGAGGAGGGGAGAGGAGGGGAGGGGGAGGGAAGGAGGAGGACGGAGGGAGAGGAGTAGAGTGGAGTGGTGAGAGGAGAGGAGAGGAGAGGAGAGGAAGGAAGAGAGGAAAAGGGGGATGAAAGGATGAAAGGAGAGGAGTGGAGAGCAGAGAGAAAGGAAGGAAGGAAGGAAGGAAGGAAGGAAGGAAGGAAGGAAGGAAGGAAGGAAGGAAGGAAGGAAGGAGGGAGGGAGGGAAGAAAACCATTTCTCATTGGTTCAAGAATGCTCCTGAAAGTGAAAGTTGATTTGGGGACAACTTTACGCCTTTAGTGGCTGCACATATTGTAGTAGAAAAACTCACCCCTGTGTTCCTTTTGGGAAACTCCAAAGAACAAGCAATTCAGTAGCAAAGAAGAACTGCAATGCAGGGAGCTTAGACAGTCGAATCCCAAGACAATCTGAGAAGAAAACAATATTCAAGAGAGGGACCGCTGTTCGATCATCTCGTTGATTGGGGCTGATCATTGCTCTTTCGCCGGCGAAATCGATCTTTTTCTTGCGCCATTCATCACGATCGCCTTTACTCCGAGGCATTCATTAGCAAAGTTCGATGCTTAAAAGGGCTCAGCTTTTGCTTTTAGATCCCGGAATTAAGGACAAGGAGACAAAAAAGATGACACTTCTTCCCCCCACCCCATCCTGAACTGGGAGGTGAGTTGTGAACTTTGATAAACTTGATGGTGGAACCACAATTAAGTGAGTCAAAGTACGCCCGGTACGGTAGGATCTCTTTTTCTGCCAATGTTTTAGCTTTTTGCTTTTTTAATTTTAGATTGCCATTGAAAATGCGTTTTGAAGAGCGGCCAAAAATAGATGAAATTGCTCTGTCTGGACATTGCATCTTTTTATTTCGCCTTACAAAGTACTTAATTGAAGAGAGTCTCTGTAGCCCAGGGTTGAATCGGAGAGTCCTCGGGCCTCTCTGAGCTGGCTTGTTTCCTTGCAGATGTTCCCGGGAAGGCTTGCAAGCAAACCAGGGTGGATTTGATTTAAATCGAGTTGATTTAAATCCCAATTTAAATCATGATTTAAATCACTAGTAAAAAGGCTTGATTTAAATCAGCTCGATTTAAATTGTAATTTTTAAAGAGCAACTGTCATCTCTGCTACTCCTCTGACCCACTGTTGACTCACCGATAGTCCCAGCGTTGCAGAATATACAACCTTGTGCTACATAACTAAGCTCCATTTCATGCTGAATAAACTAAATTATTTATGTATCTTAAATAGAAAACTATCTTACCATAGATTTTTACCCCAAAAGTTTTTTTATTAAAATAAATTCGATAAAAATCAAAAAAATCCGATTTAAATCAAAAAAATCTGATTTTTTTGATTTTTTTTTTAAAAAAATCATTGATTTTTATCCACCCTGAAGCAAACAACCCAGCTCAGAGAGCACCAAGAACTTCACAGTGTGCTTAATATTCCTCAGAATAGAGCTGGAAGGGACATTGGAGGTCTTCTAGTCCAACCTCCTGCTCGACCAGGAGACCCTATGTATGTGATGGCGAATTTATGGCACGCATGCCACAGGTGACATGCATAGCCGTATCAGTGGGCACACAAGCTCAACTCCGATGCACGCCAGCTGATTTTCAGGCCTTCTGGGCCCACCAGAAGTAGGGAAACAAGCTGTTTCCTGCCTATGGAGGACCTGGGGGTGGGGAAGGCCCATTTTTCTCTCTCCCCAGCCTCCAGAGCCTTTCTAGAAGTCTGGGAAGGGCGAAAACAGCTTTCCCCACCCCCCTCGGAGGCCCTCTGGAGGCTAGTAATGGTGGGACCAGAAGTTGGCAAACAGGCCATTTTTGGCCTCTGGGGGGGGGAGGAGGCCATTTTCGTCCTCCCCAGACTCCTAGAAAGGCTCTGGAGGCTGGGGGAGAGCAAAACACAGGCCTACCATGCCATCATGTGCCAGGAGCGGGGGGAGCGTAGGGGGAGTCATGCACGCATGCACAGGGGCAGGGCGCATGGAATTATGGGTGTGGACACACACGCGCGTAACCTCCCCACACGCCTGACACGCGATGGCAAAGAGGTTAGCCATCACTGCCCTATATCATTTCAGACAAATAGAGGCCCAATCTCTTCTTAAAAGCCTTCAGTGATGGAGCGCACACCACTTCTGGTGGCAAGCTGTTCCACGGATTAATTGTTCTCATTGTTAGGAAGTTTCTCCTCAATTCCAGGTTGCTTCTCTCCTTGATTAATTTCCACTCATTGTTTCCTGTCTTGCCTACAGGTGCTTTAGAAAATAGCTTGACCCCTTCCTCTTTGGCGCAACCCCTCAAATACTGGAAGACTGCTATCATGCCCCCCCCCCCATCCTTCTTTTCTCTAGATTGGCCAAGCCCAAATCCTGCAGCCGTTCTACATACGTTTTAGTCTCCAGACCTTTGATCATCTTAGCTGCTCTTCTCTGAACTTATTTTTTATTTTTAATTTTTTTAATTTTTGATTTATATGCCGCCCTTCTCCGGAGACTCAGGGCGGCTTACAATGTGCTAAGCAATAGCCTTCATCCTTTTGTATATTTATACAAAGTCAGCTTATTGCCCCCACAATCTGGGTCCTCAATTTACCTACCTTAGAAAGGATGGAAGGCTGAGTCAACCTGAGCCTTGGAGAGATTCGAACCTGCAGTAATTGCAGGCAGCTGGTCTTAATAACAGGGTGCTTTAGACCACTGTACTGCCAAGGCTCTTTTTCAAACTCTCTTTTTTCTAATGTGGTGACCAAAAATATATATACATATATAGAAAAATAGAAGAGGTAGAAATAGCGATAGACAAGGAAAGAGGGGCAGAAATAGAGGTAGATAGAGCCGGGTTGGGATTCAGCCGGTTCGTACTGGTTTGGAAGAACTGAGTTGTGACCTGTGGGTAGGCCCACACACCAGCCCTGGCACTGTGCTGTCCTATTTAGCTGCAGTTTTTAAGCCATGCACATGCGTGCAAGTGTGCACGCAAGCGAAAGTGGATGCGCAGAAGGCTGCACGCATGTACGCTCACATTTTTGGCGCTGGGGTGAACCGGTTGTTAAATTATGTGAAGCCCACTTCTGGATAGAGCTAGTTAAGTGAATCACTGAGTTCTTAAGTTAGCAATGGTTGTTAAGTGAATCTCATTGTGACTTTGCCAGTCACAAAGTCATAAAAAAAATGTGATCACATGACCCTGGGACATTGGAACCGTCATCAAGACACACCAGTTGCCAAGCGTCCAAATTTGGTCATGTGACCATGGGGATGCCGCCAAAACAGGGGTGAAATGCTCCCGGTTCGGAGCGGATCGCCAGATCAGGTAGCGATGGTGGCGGGTGGTTCGGAGAACCGGTAGCAAAAATCACGGTCCCCCCCACATACCCAGCTGAGCCGCGCGATTATCAGAGGCTTTTTTTTTTTTTTTACTTTTAAAAGCATTTTTTTCTTCGGCTGATTATTGGTATTAACACTTTCATACTAACAGAGTTGGAGGTCATCTAGTCTAACCCCTTGCTCACACAGGAGACCTGTACTAGGGATTCGAACTGCCGAACTGCCGACCTGTCTGATTGACAAACTCAGCGTCTTAGCCACTGAGCCATCTAGTCAGGTCACATCACGTGATCTTCATTCTATCCCTCTATTGATGCAGCCTAGGATTGTGTTGGCTTTTTTGGCAGCTGCTGCACACGGCTGGCTCATATCTAAATGGTTGTCCACTAGGACTCCAAGATCCTTCTCACAGTTACTACTATTGAGCCAGGTACCACATATAGCTGGTTTCATTTGTAGATCCTGTTTAACAGGGGTGTCAAACTCAAGGCCAACATTTTTGGCTGGCAGAGTGCTTCTGGAGGCTGGGGAGGTCGAAAACGGGCCATGCATGGACCTCATGGGGCCTCTGCGTGACCTGTTTTTGGCCAGCAGTGCTTCTGGAGGCCAGGGAGTACTGTGGAAATAAAGAAGAGAAGGGGAAAAGCCAGAGGTGAAATCCAGCAGGTTCTGACAGGTTCTGGAGAGCCGGTAGCGGAAATTTTGAGTAGTTCGAAGAACCGGTAGCGGAAATGTGTAGTTTGGAAAACTGGCAAATGCCACTTCTGGCTGGCCCCAGAGTGGGGTGGGAATGGAGATTTTGCAGTATCTTTCCCCTGGAGTGGGGAGGGAATGGAGATTTTGCAATATCCTTCCCCTGGAGTGGGGTGGGAATTTATTCATTTATTTATTTTATTGGTTCGATTTATATGCCGCCCTTCTCCGGAGACTCAGGGCGGCTTACAATGCGTTAAGCAATAGCCTTCACACTTTTGTATATACCTGCTTAGTAGGGCTTTCGGCCCCCCCAAGCGGTGTCCTTTTTTATACAAAGTCAGCTTATTGCCCCCACAATCCGGGTCCTCAATTTACCTCCCTCGGAAGGATGGAAGGCTGAGTCAACCTTGAGCCTGGTGAGATTCGAACTCGCAGTAATTGCAGGCAGCTGGCAGCACTTTAACAGCACTTTAGCCGCTGCGCCACCAAGGCTCTTGGATAGTTTGCAGTATCCTTCTCCTGGAGTGGGGTGGGAATGGAGATTTTGCAGTATCTTTCTCTTGCCACACCACCAAGCTACGCCCACCAAGCCACGCCCACAGAACCGATAGAAAAAAAAATTGGATTTCACCACTGGGAAAAGCACATCTGTCACCTGTGTCAAACACCCCATGGCTGGGGTGGCCATGGCCATGCCCACCCGAGCCACATCCATCCCTGGCCTCACACACCCCAACTCCCACCCCCAACCCAGCCCTCCGAGGTCAAACAAAACCTTGATGCAGCCCTCAATGAAGTCCAGTTTGATACCCCTGCTGTATAATGTTGTTTGCAGTTTCAATCTTGTTTCCTGCCGATTTTAAATCAATGTGCACAGCAGCTTGTTTTTCCCCTGTATCCTCTTTTTTAAATAAACCCTTGTGGATTGTAATCCTATCAAGAGAAACTTGACTAGGTTCACTCTTGCCAAAGAGCCTTGAATTCTTTTAAAATTAAAACGCTTTTCTCCATTCTGTATTAGTGAGTGTCCGCCTTTAATTATAATTTTTTTCATTCTTTCTTTGGTTGCCTCTAGTTACCAGCCTTCAAGGTCTCCGCTAATCACATTTTTAAAAATCTCATCTGGCATATTTTCCCAGGGAGAGGGAAAACTCTTAAACTCAAAACCTTCATATTGTTTTAATAAGATTTTTTAAAAATATATATATTCCATGTTTCTCTGAAAATAAGACCAGGTCTTATATTAATTTTTGCTTCAAAAGACACATTAGGGCTTATTTTCTACTTAGGTCTTATTTTTTGGGGAAATACGGTACTAGATGCACCCATCTGGCTGACAATTTTGGGGGTAGGGCTTATATTACGAGCATCCTGAAAAATTATACTAGGATTTATTTTCTGGTTGGGTCTTATTTTCAGGGTGCGTATGCATATGTGTGTGTGAATGTATATATATATACATACATACAGTGGTGGGATTCACATAATTTAACAACCGGTTCTCTGCTCTAATGACCAACTGGGTAGGCGTGGCTCAGTGGTCATGTGACCGTGTGGGCATGGCCAACTCAAGATCACTCATATCAATGGGCGTTTCGCCTTAGCTGTTACAATGTAGTAAGGGTTAACCAGAGAGGCA